TAAATCTGGTACCATTACAAAGACCCCATTTACTATTAAGATTTCTCAATAGCATGATGATTGCACCCACTTTCAATTTTAATTTATGACATGGCATTCCTGAAGGAGTAATACTATTAAGAAATTCGATGGGAAAAATTTCCTTTACAGCATCATCTGTGGAATCAATGGAATCATCACTCAAATATGTGTGAAAATCTCCATCGAGTATATCCCAAATTTCTTCATTTAATTTTTGAACGTGATCATTTTTTGGACAAAGAATTGCACGTATAGGTATATTTTTAATATTATCTATAGACATAGTATTTCCAAAGGTAGCTTTAATAATAGATGCATTACAAATCATTTCACAGGGGATTTCAATAATATCCATTCCTAAATGAAAACTGCTATCAAGTTTGCCATCTCTAAGTTTTACTAACCATTCACTATAAGCAGAATCCTCTGATCTCATATTTGTTGTAAGAGACAACTTTCTGAAACATCCCCAAACATTGCAGTACTTTAAACTCGTTTGTAAGATGGCCGATCCCATAGCATGCAGTACAATACTGAGACATTGTCGAAAATCCCCTCCAAGAAGGAGAACTTTCCCACCAAATACAATATTCAAATTTCTCTTAGTAATCTGTCTATGGCATTTATAGCATGACTGGATGCCATGGTGCATTCATCAATAATGAGAAGTTGGGCCTTTTTAACAGTTTTAGCAACTTCACTATTTATATCGAGTCTAGAAATTGAAGTTTCATTTAGTGCAGTGGTTCTCAACCTTCCTAATGCTGCGACCCTTTAATACAGTTCCTCATGTTGTGGTGACCCCCAATTTCATTGTTACAAATTGAACATAATTAAAGCATCGTTATTAATCACAAAAACAATATATGTAATTATATATGTGTTTTCCGATGGTCTTAGGCGATCCCTGTGAAAGGGTCGTTCGACCCCCAAAGGGGTTTCGACCCACAGGTTGAGAACCGCTGATTTAGTGGAATGGGTAATTTATATTGGGAATGAAAGGTGCTTCCACCGAGAAGTAAAATTGCAGCAATTCCTGTAGACGCTGTGGTTAAAACAGTACTACCATGACCTCTAATATAATGTATTAAAACTTTATAAAGATATGCCTCCACGCTCCGAGGGCCGGTTCCTGCCTCAAACCTCGCCCTCCCAGGAAACAGCTCGGGGAGGGCGCAGCCCTTGGCAACTCGCCCCAGGACTCAGTGCCTCTATGCTCTGAAAGCCGGTTCCTGCCTCAAACCTCGCCCTTACCAGAAATAGCTCAGGAAGGGCACAGCTGTGGCTAAGAGGACCCAAGACTCAGTGCATTCACGCCCCGAGAGCGGGTTCCTGCCTGAAACCTCGCCGCCCTCGCAGGAAACAGCTCGGGAGGTTGCAGCCGTTTCCAAGACAACCCCTGCAGGACTGACTTCCTTCCGGCTGGTCGAGCCTTGGTCGCGATGTTACACCCAGGGTTTTTATATAAATAAGATTCTACAGGCCTATTTATATACTTACAAAATAAACTATGCAAGACACTAGGTATAATTTTGTTTGTAATAGCAAAAAAATGTAAACATCATAAATGTCTACCAATAGATAGGCATATTTACATACTTGCAAATAATGAATAGTTCAATGAACTGTGATATAGCCATACAATATGTAACTATGCAGCAGTCACAAACAATGTGGCAGCTCTGCATGCAATGAAATGAAACCATGTCCAAGATAAACTGTCAAAAGATTGTACTTAAAAATTAATCTATGCACATACAAATATATATATTTTTTCTCTGAAGGAAAATACTACATCTCATTAGATTTAGCTTGTTGCCTCTGGGGAAAGGAACTGATGGCTGGGTGACTGACTTTTGATTAAATATTGTGCATACCTTTGTTTTTTTGTCATGTGCATTTATTACTTACTAAAAAAATTTTAATAAAGCTAATCCTTGCTCAGAATCCTCTGCCTTTTCACCTCTAATTTAATTTCACCTTAATATGTCAAGACAAAGAAAAAATTTCATACATTTCATGACAATAATACATACATTATATTAGAAAACATATTATTTGAAATTCTTATAGACTTTTTAAACATTTCTACTAGCATATAATTAAATTCATGTTTTCTTTATTTCAATCAGATGAAACATATCAGAACATTTATTATTTGTGTACTTACCGAACCTTTTTTCCATTTTCAGTAATTTTTGTTACATTTAATAATCCATATTTCTCTTGACCCTATGGAACAGAGTAATATATATATATCATTCATATAGACAATGAAGTCCAAACCTTTACATATGATTGGATCAAAATGATCTGATACTCTAAAAATTAGCTTAAAAGAAACGATTAGTTTGTATGTACTGTGTTTAGTTCTTTTTAACACCTTGCTGACCAGTCACAAGTATACTCGTGTTTCCGTATCCAAACATTGCTGACCCGTCAGAAGTTAACTCAGGTCTTTTTCTCAACTCATTAGTATTTTCAGAGATGTGACAAACAATATATCTAATTCTTTAAAATACATCGAATTCTTTTTAAAATACCACATTGCAGCAGAGAAGACCATTTAAGTAAATTATGTGCAGATACTTTATCTGTCAGGCTTTGGTAGTCAGCTGGAAGATAACTTTGTCAGAAGATAGTAATGAGTCTGACATTAGACCATCATGAAGGCAAGAGAGAAATGTGATAGTATCTGACAGTGAAAGTGATTCTGAAGAATGAGCGGAAAAAGACATTTTACCAGCCCTGGAGGATTTTATAAATGTTTCAGATGTAACTGTTCAATTTTAAAACCCACAAAGTATAAGGAAGCTTTTTTTTTTATTTAATTTTTTGTTGTAGTTAATCCTCACCCGAGGATATTTTTCCATTGATTTTTGGAGAGAGCAGGAGGGAGGGAGAGAGACAGAGAGAGAGAGAAACATCAATGTAAGAGAGACATATCAATTGGTTGCCTCCTGCACATGCCCCAATCAGGGTCAGGGATCGAGCCTGCAACCAAGATACATGCCCTTGACTGGAATCAAACCCAGGATCCTTTAGTCCATGGGCCAACACTCTATTCACTGAGCCAAACTGGCTAGGTTCCCAATTTATTTTTTGATTTCACTACTTCTCAAATCAATTTATACCATCAACAAATGGAAAAATACCACAAAACCTTTGCTAAAGCTTCACCATAGACAGACGTTACTTATATTGATAGATACTAGTATAAAGAAGTTTCTTGGTTTAATTACATTGATGGAACTAACAAAGAAGCCAGAATAAAAAAATTACTGGTCAACCAATCCCTTACTTGAATCACCCTTATTTATTTATTTATTTATTTATTTATTTATTTATTTATTTATTTATTTATTTTTAAAGAAATATTCTATGTTCTTTTTATTTTTAATTGATTTCAGAGAGGAAGGGAGAGGGAGAGAGAGTTAGAAACGTCAATGATGAGAGAAAATCATTGATTGGCTGCCTCCTGCGCGCCCCCTACTGGGGATTAAGCCCGCAACCCGGGCATGTGCCCTTGACCGGAATTGATCCTGGGACCCTTCAGTCTGCAGGCCAACACTCTATCCACTGAGCCAAACCGGTTAGGGCAAATTACCCATATTTCTAAAAACTATGACTGGATAGAGGTTCAAGCAAATACGTACATTCTGTCATCTGAATGACAATTCACAAACAACATGTAACACAGACCATCTTTACAAAGTCAGACCTCTTTTGGATCACTTTACTTAGAAATTTAAATCTTTATATATACCAAAACAGCAGTTATCACTCGAAACAATGATTCCATGGAGAGGACGCATCAGATTCAAGACATATAATCCAGCAAAAATAATAAAACATGGAATTTTAGTGAGAATGCTTTGTGAAAGTAAAGAGTGGTTATATTTGTAACTTCAAGATATATAATACAGAGGGTGGGTGGATGGGAAAAGATCAACCGAAGAACTTGTAAGTATATATGCATAACCCATGGACACAGATAATAGGGTGGTAAAGGCCTTGGGTGGGGGTTGGGGGCAGGCTAGAAGATGTAAATGGGGGAAAATAGGAGACATATGTAATCCTTTCAACAATAAAGATTTTTTAAAAAGATATATAATATAGGGAAAGGCAAAAAGTTACAACAGACTATATTATCCGTCTTATAGCCTTTTTGGTTCTTGGCATCATATTTACCAAGATAATTACTACAACAGCATATCTACAGCTGAACTATTATTGAAGAATAAAACACTGGTCTGTGAACAATAAGGGAAACAGTAGGTTGCCAAAACTACTAAAAGAAAAGCAGCCAGCTACACAGGCAAGTTCTGCCTCGAAATAGCCCGTCCAGCAAGGTGTTAAAAATATAACTTTTTTTTTCGTTGCTTAAAATATTACAAAGAGCAGTACATTTGTCTCCTTTTTTCCTCCTTGACCTTCCCCCAGCCTCCCCTACCCCCCGCCCCCAGTGTCTTGTGTCCATTGGTTATGCTCATATGCATGCATACAAGTCCTTTGGTTGATCTCTTACACGCCCCCCCAACCCTCCCCAGCCTTCCTGCTGTAGTTTGACAATCTGTTTAATGCTGCTCTGCCTCTGTATCTATTTTTGTTCATCAGTTTATAATGGTCCCTATTATCCATAAATGAGTGAGATCATGTGGTATTTTTCTTTCACTGACTGGCTTATTTCACTTAGCATAATGCTCTCCAGTTCCATCCATGCTGTTGCAAATGGTAAGAATTCCTTCTTTTTTACAGCAGCATAGTATTCCATCGTGTAGATGTACCACAGTTTTCTAATCCATTCATCTACTGATGGGCACTTAGGCTGTTTCCAGATCTTAGCTATGGTGAATTGTGCTGCTATGAACATAGGGGTGCATATATCCTTTCTGATTGGTGTTTCTGGTTTCTTGGGATATATTCCTAGAAGTGGGATCACAGGGTCAAATGGGAGTTCCATGTTTTGTTTTTTGAGGAAACTCCATACTGTCTTCCATAGTGGCTGCACCAGTCTGCATTCCCACCAGCAGTGCACAAGTGTTCCTTTTTCTCCACATCCTCTCCAGCACTTGTCATTTGTTGATTTCTGATAAGGGCCTAATCTCCAAAATCTATAGGGAACTCATACAACTTAACAAAAGGAAAATAAACAATCCAATCAAAAAATGGGCAAAGGACCTAAATAGACACCTTTCAAAAGAGGACATTCAGAAAGCCAAGAGACATATGAAAACATGCTCAAAGCCGCTAATCATCCGAGAGATGCAAATCAAAACAACAATGAGGTACCATCTCACACCTGTCAGAATGGCTATCATCAACAAATCAACAAACGACAAGTGCTGGAGAGGATGTGGAGAAAAAGGAACACTCATGCACTGCTGGTGGGAATGCAGACTGGTGCAGCCACTATGGAAGACAGTATGGAGTTTCCTCAAAAAGCTGGAAATGGAACTCCCATTTGACCCTGTGATCCCACTTCTAGGAATATATCCCAAGAAACCAAAAACACCAATCAGAAAGGATATATGCACCCCTATGTTCATAGCAGCACAATTCACCATAGCTAAGATTTGGAAACAGCCTAAGTGCCCATCAGTAGATGAATGGATTATCTTGCCTCCTTTGTCAAATATTAATTGAGCATATTGGTTCGGGTCGATTTCTGGGTTCTCTATTCTATTCCATTGATCTATATGTCTGTTCTTGTGCCAGTACCAGGCAGTTTTGAGAACAGTGGCTTTGTAATACAGCTTGATATCTGGTATTGTTATTTTCAGTAATTCTATAATTTAAAACTTCCTCTTTTCAAGTCATAGCAGCCCTATAAAGTATTCTGCTATCAAATTAGATTTCCATATAAATGCTACAAGTCAGAACTGGAAAAATTATTTGTGACTTTCTGTTCCAAGAAAGTGATACAATGTTATGATAAAATACCACAAAAATGAATTACTCTGCTGTTACTTTACAACAATATAGTCTGAAAATTATTTAAGATACTAACCCACTTTGTCAAAATGTAAAAATATATAGGTAGAACAAATGCAGCGACTGTATTTAATAAACTACTCAAAAGCAATGGCACTATGCATAGAATTAGCCTTAATGTGGCATAAAAAATTCAGTATGTGCTTCATTAAACATATTATAAGATGGCAAATTGGGCCCTGGATAAACTAGATATATTAGTCAGTTGATGTCAAAAATAGTGACATAGCTTTAATCACCAAACCCTATGAAGGTAAAAGTCACTATGCTCAAGTTAAATGTTACTTTAAAATTACTTCAGGTGGAACTAAAGAGCACTTCCTCATTGTTTTAGCTTCGTATATTCAAATGAATTTAATCAAAATGAATTGGTGCCTATAGTAACCATCAATTTTAGTAAGCACTGTATGTACATGACAGAGCAATTTTGTTTTAGCTGAAACACATACACACATACAAAAAAAATATTCCTAATTCAAAATTTATTTATATTTAACTGACACCTTAGCTATTTTCTCCATGTATTTTAATTACAAAAAATAAGTATTTCTTGTATGGGAGATAAACACAATATAAAATATTTCCTCAATAATATCTAAAAGGTAATGTTTGAAAGTTTTGTCTGGTCTGATAAAAACTCACATCTATAAACTCACATCTATGGCATACTGTTGCTGACCCACATTTTTTGTATACCAGGAATTTGAGAAACACTCATGAAGTTTTACTATAATTCTTTCAAAAAGCATAGATTAGATTGCCTTAGATATGCAAGTCTGATACTTTTCATAAAACATCAATTACACAGTTGTAAGTGTGTGCACAGGATGTTCAGTAAGAACATTCCTCAATTTACTATCAGAAGTAGAGAAAAAAAATTGCAATGATACAGGAACTAAGTAACACCATTAATCTGAGAAGATGGGTACTGGTTATGTGAGCACAGGAACTGGAAGGATAGAGATAGGAATCAATTCTATTTAAAAAAAATGCCAAAATTGAAACTGTGCAGAGCAACAAAGCAGAGGCAGAAAGGAAATACAGGTGTCAAAACACACAGAGATAGCCATAATGACATACAGCCTATGCCTAAGGATGAGAAAGACACTCTATATCAGGGATTCTTACCTAAATCAATGGATGGATTAAAACTGGTACAAAATTTGTGCATGTATATGCATCATTCAAGAAAAAGGTCTAAAACTTTCACAAAATTCTCACAGGGATCAAGACCCAAT